GTATTCTTTACTAAAATCATCTAACCCTTAACAGACCCGCAAATTTCAGTCTAAAATCATCGCAGGCGAGAATTGAAGAAAACTTACATAAATGGCCAATAGCAAAAGTTTGTTTTTCAAAACAGGCAAGGATGTCTTGCATCACCCGTCCACCTCCTTTTCCTAGCTGCGAAATTCTGCCAATGAGAACATCTTCGACGCTCTCGGCTGGATCTCTGTCAAATCCACATCCAGCACATTGCCTAAATATTGGTCAATTTAGGTCTCGACTTGAGAAAATTAAAGAGAAGAAATAATAAGTTTCTTCGCAAGATAGCAAATAGTAACGCAACACAATGTACTTCATTTAAAATCATACAGATACCATTAAGAGGGAGAAAGATAGAGAAGAAAGAAAATAGATAGAGAGAGATAGATAGGTAGATAGTGAGAGAGTGAGAGGGGGGGAGGGGTAGATAGAGAGAGATAGAGAGAGAGAGAGAGAGGGAGAGAGAGAGTTAGATTAGATCATAAACATTAAATTTGTTTTTTTTGTACTTTGTTTCATTATAGAAATCAACTAGTTTATGTTCACTTCAAACGTTTTATAATAATACTAATCACATTGGCACGTCTATTCTTGATATAGAATAATATCGTATTCTTGCTTCTGACAGACATAGTGAGATTTAGGCGGACCAGTATCTTCAGAGGCCGTCAAATATCTGACATTTTGCTCAGAGAAGAACGGCGGGGGGGTTCAGTTTAATATAAATGGCTCAATCGTTTTATCAAGCGCCATTCATTCTTGATGATCCTCAGTGGCGAAAAATCGACCCTAACCGGGATTGCTTGTCTGCCGAGGGAGCGATAAATTCGGGAAATGACAACCCCTTGAAAAACACAGACTTATGGACTTGTTGCGCTACAATCTTACCCTTTCATCGCATCAATCCTGCGCTACGCAGGGGCCTTTTTACTGCCGTATAAACCCTTAGGTCCAACGCATGGAAAATGTTAATAATAAAACATTGAATCTAAATCGTTCCCAATTGCAATAAATAACGTCTGATAAATGAAATGAATGAGTAATCGTGTCAAATATTACCTACTGCCCTATTAGAAGACAAACCTCTTTATGCTTTTTATGCTACTCAAGGTGTAATTTATTTGTAAAAAGCAGATGCAAACGGCAATGCAGCCCAATATAAATTTATTGTGTGTAGAATTTTGTTATTACTGTCGAAAAGTACTGTTTTTTACGTCAGTACGTTAACTCAACAGAAATAATGCAATTGTAGTTTTGTTTACATACTTTAATTTCTTATTTGTCGTTCTCTGTTTCTAAAAGTTTAACGTCATTGGAGATGTATGTAAAACCTATAATTTTAGGAGTAGTACTTTTGGGAAAAAAAAAAGTTCTTTCTAGGTTGCTACAAAATTAGCTATGCACTAAAACATTAATAAATTCTTATTATAATATTATTAGATTTCTTTCTTTTTCTAATTTGACTTTTTTTAAATTGAGGATTGATAATNTTTTCTCTCCTTTTTGCCATTTTTCAAATGTCGTGACACTGACTTTTTTATCTCAACTAAAAACGTTAATTAATTGAATGATATTAATTGGTCAAGCGGACTATGAAAACTAGTGAATTTAATAAATTTATATTTGTATCTTTAAGCCTGAGTTGGATTTTAATTACGTGTAAGCAATAAAAGTGAAGAAAAGGAAATTCTCATCACATGATATTAGTTATTATTAAAAAAATAGTTTCGCATATACTATTGTATATATTATTAGAAAAATTAACGTTGTTTGGGAGTACGATTTTAGAAAAGATAATGTTCGCCAGAGAATGCTTTTTTTTTATTACTCATACCCAGTTTTCTGTTAATGGATGGATTGTAAACTGCATTATAAAAAGAAACGTGTATTTGGGAAGTTACAGGTAGGGTTTTTTAATTATGTATTTTTCAAAATTAAAATGAATACTAATAAAGAAAACATTATTGCCTTTTTAATAGTATCTTCCGATTTGAAAACTTTTGTATCACGTTTGGATTCTTTAAACCCAAATGTTATTGTTAGGTAATCAATGGAGGATTGTCTAAGAGATAAAACTATTAAGGGAGGCTACTTTTTTTGTCCTTCATCTAGTAATAAAAATTGAGGATTTTAATATATAAGAAATATGGTGCCAAATCGCTTTTTTTTTGTGATTCTGGCAAGTACAAGGAAACCGCAAACCCACGAATAGCCTGTTATGAAAGATTTTTTTAAATGTATCAACAGCCGGTTACAATTTGTTTAACTCCAAAACGATTTGGAGGTAGCTGCCCAATGATCTGACCGCATTATCTTTTTCCTTTACATTACATGGTCTCCTTTTTAAATAGCCCGGCTAAATTTCTCTTCAACCAATGACAAAAAAATTAGTCTAGTTTGAAATGTTTACCTTTTTGTAGAAAAATTATACAGGGCACCTCAGGCCCAGTTCAATTTTAAAATTTCAAATAAGGCCCTGTACATCTTGGCATATCATTTTAAACGATTTTTTACTCTGGAAACAATGGTGCAATCGGATTTTAAATTGGCCAAAAAATGACAAACTTATGGGAAAAAGAAACCGGGCAGTGTAATTTAGGCGAGGAGCTGAATATTTTACAGTAATTAATCCATTTATGTTTGGTGGTCTAATTGACCTTTTAAATTATTTCAATTAATTATTCTTTTTATGTAAGGTCTTACAATCTTACAAGTGACGGAAGTCACGATAGCTCAAGTGGTTAGAACAGCGGCGTATTGAACCGAAGGTCCTGGGTTCGAATCCCGCGGCACTAACTTTTTCATCTTAACCATGACCTTACATAAAAAAAATAATAATAATTTAACAGTATGTTCGCAAAAATCCGAATTCCTCTCTCCGAAATGTTGGAAGGGTTTTAGTTTTTTTAAAAAAATATAAAATTAGTTATGTACTCCGGACTTACCATTTTAAGCCTATCCCCCCATCTTGTTCAGGGACTTCGGGACTATAATTATGACAGGTGTCTAACATTCCTAAACCGTTGGAGTTTTCGAACGTGGGCAGAGCGAAATCAGAAAATTTCGTTACAATTTTAAGCCGTATCGCTCTCATCTTGTCCAGGGACTTCGGGACTCTGATTACGACAGGCGTCTAACGTTCCTTGCACAAATGTCGATTTGGGAGGGTGAAAAAAACGTTCTTTCATACATCCTATGTGGCAGATGAATCCAAGTTCACCTCTAATGGAATACTAAACTGATGGAACTTTCGAACGTGGGCAGAGGAAATTCCGGGAATTTTGATCTCCTGTCATCGTCAGGTGGTTCACAGTATTAACGTTTGGTGTGGACTTCTCGGAAATAAATTAATCGGGCCTTATTTCTACGAAAATAATTTAAATGGTGCTCAGTTCCTCAATATTTTGAGGGAGGTTTTACGAACACTATTAGATGATGTTCTTCTGGAACAACGGCAAAGAATGATTCTACAGTTTGATGGATGCCCCGCAAACAATTCTTTGTAGGTGAGACATTATTTGAATCGTCACTTCCGGGATAGGTAAAAAGGACCTAATGTCTCTTCGATCACCCTATTTCATTTCACTTGACTAGTTTCTGTGGGGCCATTAAAAAAACAATATCTACGTCAATCATAATCCAGCAACCTCAGTCGAAGAACTGTGGCAAAGCATAGAAAATGCATGTCAATCCTTCTCCCCTGGCTCTATCGCTCTGAGCACTGATGAAGAGTGGTTAAACAGAAAAAATCTTTGCAACTTTTCGCCAGGCAAGCAGTTCGAACATGAAATGTGATTAATAAATAGCAAACCACTTTTTGTAAACCAGCAAACCACTATTTTCAAAATAACAACTTTTTTTCAAACTTTATGCCGTAACTTTTTCATTTTTTGACCAATTTAAAATCCCATATCACCATTGTGTTCAGCACAAAAAATCCTTTAGCGATTATTATGCCAATGATTGATTATTTGGAGATCGTGAGATGCGGTCTGGTGTGATGTAGGTTTTAGAAAAACATTTTCGTTATCTTGCCAACGTTTCGATCTTTATTGAGATCATCTTCAGGACTCAAAGTGTTTGTATTCCGTGTAGATGTGTCATTCTTGGGTGTCGTGTTGAGAGTGCCCCGACACACGGTAATGACACATCTACATAGAAAAGGAGTGAACCCTGAAGATGATCTCACTAAAGATCGAAACGTTGGTGCGATAAAACAAATGTTTTTCTAAACCCACGTCACACCAGACCGCACCTCACGATCTCCAAATAATCATTGGCTAACGGTCACTAAACATCACACATCCTTTAAAATGTTGTGTCAAGAAATTATTTGAAATGAGCCTTAGGTACCCTGTATAATTTTTCGACAAAAAAAAAAATGTATTTTTGATAGTGTCATTGGTTCGAGACAAATTCAGCCGAATCATCTAAAAAGGACAACCTGCATATCAAAATTTAAATCAAAATTAAAGTTTTAAAGAGATTGACTATTCAAAAATTTATTTACAAAACTCAATAAACACAAGTGGAAGATGTTATCCGTGTTTTAAATCCTTTAAAAAGGACCAAATATTATTGTAAGGTAATCAATGGAGGATGGATTAAGAGATAATTAAAAAATATGAAGGGTGGCCACTTTTTGTCTATCATTGCAGTAATAAAAATTGCTGATTGTAATAAAAAAATATGGGTTTTAAACTGTGCCAAATCGTTTGCTTTGTAATTCTGGAAAGTACAAGGAAACTGGAAACCCCACAAGTATTTTTTTTAATATATCAACAGCCGGTTACAATTTATTTAACCCCACGAGGATTTGGGTCAAATATCGCGAGAACCGTCTTTTTAACCCTTCAGGCGACGAGGGAGGCGAAGAATCTGGTAGAGGGGAGGCGCGGTGTCCGCCTCGTCCGGGGGTAGAACGAAGGAAGGAGAAGTCGAAAGGAAGCCGGTTCAGTCAGTGTAGTGACATGTTGCTGTGAACATGACTCTAATCACATGGCGGTCATCCCCCCTGATGACGAGTCATCCAGGTTCGTCGATAATCATCATAAGTAGAGATAAACTCCACTATATACATATTTACGCTCAGGCTGAATTTTTCATCCACCTGATCCACTCTCCTGTGATCATTTTTGCTACTTTCCTCCGGGCACCACTTGTTGATACGCTTTTTACGAATTCATTTCGCGATGAATCCTAATTCTCGTCCTTTCATCATCTGATTTCTTACATATACATAAACAATTTAATACATTAGGTCAATTTTTGAAAGTACTGTTGGTGTTTTTTTTCTCGAAAATTTCTGTTTAGTGTATATTCAAAACATTTGATTACTTGTAAATGTTTCTCAATCAAATATCATCTGATTTTTTAAAGTAATAATTATATGACGTATAAACCCTACTCGGAAAAATTGACAGGCAGCTCCTCACTGAAGATAACGGATGGTGAAACGCGTTTGAATAATTCAACAAAACAGCGACTATAGACGGACCCAATAAGTGACCCTATTCCTCGGTTCAGCATGTAGATGAAGTTGTTAAATGGGAATAGTTTGCAAGAAAAAATTGCAATAAGTAGCAAACCTTTGTTCAAATATTATGTTTTACTTTTACATAAAATTACAAGTATGACGTAAATTTTTTAATTAATTCTAGTAGATTTGGAAAAAATGCAATAATCTTATGCAGATTAATGAGCTGAATGATTTTGATTTAAAGTAAAAAAAAAGATTAATCCGGTGATTTGGTATAGAGAATTTAACAATTAATTTAATATAATATAATTTAATTATTAATAAAAGAATCGTTTGCTCAAATAGTATGTTAATTTAATTTGTTAAATTAATATTAGTATATTAAATAAATGCGCAAAATACACGACGAAAAATTTACGAAGACAAACGATATTATCATATAGTTTTTTTACATTAAAAAATATAAGATCTTCGGTGATATGTTGTAAAGAATGAAAATCAATAAAAAAAAGTTGATAATTAGCTCATTTAATACCACTGCAAAAGAGACATGTGGAACTTTAACATTAAATTGTTAAAGCTTTCTTTAAAAAAATTAACATTTATGAGAAAATAAAGAAATTATAGGATTTTAACAATAAATTGTTATATTTACAAGATATTTTTAAAGATTTATAATCAAACAATTTTGGTTTTTCGAAAATGAACGAACAGAAACGAAAAAAAAATCAAAACAAACTGGACGTCAAAGCATTCCTGTTATGTCAGGGGCACATTTTTTCCATTGGAACAACAACTATAATATTATAAAAATTAATTTTAATCTCGATAGTGAAATGCAGAAAAGACTCTGACAGACAAACCCAGCGTGGTTGGAAAGACCAAAGTGATCGGTAACGAACCAAATTTTATCAGCAGGAAACATCAGAAATCTCTCAATATAATATCAGGTGGATAGATAGACAAGATGGGAGAAATTAAGGTCCTGTACCATTTTATGGAGTCTGCCCTATTTTAAACCAATTTCACGTTGCTTCTTTAAAAAACGAATTGTCCAGAGATGACGTATCGAGTATTTGAACGATTTTTAAAAATTGGGTTCCTCTTGTGAAATTCGGTTAATATGCCTGGAAATATAAGCATGAATTTTGTTCACTGTGATTCACACACTATGATTCTTTCACGTTTTCCAAGTTTAAATCTTGATACAAAAGTTTTCAAATCAGAAGGTACCATTATAACGGCAATAAGATTTTTCCGGATTATTATCAGTATTATTTTAATTTTGAAAAATCGGGTTTAAGATTGGCATACCGTAAAATCCATTTCTCTATTTACAAAAAAAAAGTTATATAAATTTACATGAAGAAATTAACTAATGATGGAACTTATATACATTTTTGATTTATTCTTTTTTTTAAGTCTTACTCTCCTTAAAATTGGTTTTTAGTAAATGAACTGACATTAATTAAAAATAAATAACTGGGAGAAAATTAAGATAATATTTTAATATTACTATTAATCCATTAAAAAAAAGTTCTAATTTCTTGGTTTTATTTTTAATATTTTAATATTTTTCCATACAACCATTAACTTTTATTTTATTTTTTAAATATGCTAAATTAAATAAATAACTTTTAATATTTTAAGATCGGTGTTAGTTCACTTAAAAAAAAAGTTTTAATGGTTGAAAATCTTTCTTGTACTGTCATCAACTGGTTTCGCGACAATTAGTTGGACTTGAACGATTTGTTATTTAATGAAAGTGAGAAAGGAGTCATAGTAAAAAGAAAAAGTGAGAAATAGTTTGTAACTGAGAAATTATAGGATAAAAATGAGAATTTCTTGCAAATCCTTAACAGCAATTATTTCAAAAGGGGGATAGAGAAAATAAAGCAATATTTGTATGCCCATCAATTGTCTTAATATTACTTACGTTAATTTTATTCACAAATTAAAAATATTATGTCAAATACATTTAAAATTTCATGTATTGTTATTAGTACATCACAAAACCATTACTTTTTAAACGAGATATTATTGTTAGGATAATTGTTGTTATGTATTTGGCTAAACGAGATGTAACATCGTTGATGGACATTTCTAGGAGGTTTCTAATTTTTCTTTTAGATGTTATATTTTCATGTTTTTCTAATTCAAATCTTGATATAAATATTTTCAAATTGGAAGGTACTAAAGAAGATATTTTAAAAGTGTAAATAATAATAATTTCCATTTGTCAATTAAGTTTTGCTTACTAGTATGATTGTAATTTTAAAAACTCTTAGTTATTAGAGTGATTTAGGCTAAAATCCATAATTAAAAAAATATAGTACGTGTGTGGTGATTAGTGACCGTTAATCGATAATTATTCAGAAATCGTGAGATGCGGTTTGGTGTGATGTAGGTTTCAGAAAAACATTTTCTTTATCGTGCCAACGTTTCGATCTTTATTGAGATCATCTTCAGGGCCTGCGATTTACAAACATTGTTTAAATTTACATGTATTTGTTAAATGTAAACAATGTTTGTAAGTCCCAAGTCCTGAAGATGGTCTCAATAAAGATCGATATATTGGCACGATAAAGAAAATGTTTTTCTGAAACCTACATCTTACCAGACCGCATTTCACGATTTCTGAATAATTAAAAATAGTACCTTTAACTTCCCCAGTACAACAAATACAAACATTTTTTTAATATTGTACTTTACAGTTAAAAATTCATTAACAGAAAACTGGGTATGATTAATCAAAGGAAAACATTGTCTTTTTTAAAATCGTACTCTCAAACAACGATAATTTTTTGAATAAAATATAATAATATATATCATATTACATGTGAAACTATTTTTTAATACTCATTTATTTTGTGATAGGAATTTTTCGTGAATTTCGTAACCTCCTTTTTCAACTTTTTATTGTTTATACGTATTTCAAATTCAATGCAGGTAACCCTTTTCAAGGCTAAAAGATACAAATATAATGTATTATTAATCAACACAACTATATAAAACTGTATCTATAATTTGCAAATATTAAAACCATAACATGTAAAATTGAAACATGGGAGACAAAAAATAGTGGAAAATATACGTTTTCGTTCTATTTTCTTTGTTTGTTTACATTCAAAATTGGCACAAAATACGCTAAATTGAGAAATTTCCTTCTGCTGTCTTGTCGTGAAACTGTAGCTTGGTCGTTTCCTGCCATTTGCATCTGACCATATTCACTGTTATGGTATGCGACTGAAGCTGGCGAAAAATGGAAATCTGCCTTGACCAAAATCACGAGGATAGGCGGACCAATGATCAGAAACGACCAATCATCATAAACGTAAATGAATTTTGTTTTGTTTGTAGACTTAGATGCAATGTTCGAGGCGTGACATATACCTTTGAGACCTATTGTAACTCCTATTCTGTACCTACAGTAGGCAGATCGGTGAGTCCTAGTTCATCATGCAATTCGATTAGTAGGCCCGGTTTCGTGGTTGAATTTCTTCAACGGTTACGTTGTACATCCCGAAACACTTCGTCCTGATGGCAAATGTGCCGCCACAGTATGTTAGTGTGTCCCTTCTTCTTAGTAGAATCTGAACGTTCAGTTTTGGGTTATAACCATCCCCTTCAGATGTCCATTCAGTCTGCAGTGTCCTGTCAAGGATCCCGCCAGAAGTTCTTCTTACTCCCTTTGATGCATTTTGTTGTTTCTTTCTTTCCAAAATTAGATAGAAGGTTCTTGGATTGTTTATATATGAGTGAATTCCACTATTTTCTGATTTTCAATTTAACGTTTTGCCTGAGGTACTCATTGATAGTGTGAATCCCATGCCACAAAAGGGCTCGGAATATATTCAGCCCTTAGAAATGATGAATGATGTTCAATCCGTTTTTAAAAAGATAGTTCCTACTGACAGTAAGTTGTTTTGCAACGATCCGGATTTCGAGCCCTTTAGCTCATCATCAGGTTACTGTACTTCCACAACTACGTCTCTCGACAAGAATTGCAAAAGTAAACCCGCTGATCTCCTCTCAAAACCTAAAGACAAGGTAGGCAACTTGGTAAAAAGCAGGGTTTACCAACTCAATTGTAATGATTGTGATATTAAATATATAGGACAAAGCGGTAGAGAAATAAAAACGAGAGTAAAAGAACACTTGCCTAAATCGAGCAAATTTTCGGAATTTAAGGACCATCTAAAAGAAACAAAACATAGTTTCAATTCAATACAACAGTGTTACATAGTTTCAACAAAGGGAGTGAACTAGATTGGTNGAAGTCTTCAACCAATAAATAAAAATTTTGGACTATTCTTAGTAGTCTTTTTTTGTTTTTGTTTGTGATATCAAATCCTGAAAAGACGAACAAAAATAAAAAAGGACTGCTGTAATGAATGGTCCAAAAAATCTATTGGAAAGTTACTCGCTAAAATTGGACAACGAATGCCGGTGAAGAAAGAGTACGCTAAGTGAGTATTGAGGACGGCTGAGGAGAAGGGCTAAAAGCAGATCTACATTCTTCAAATGGTGAAAAAGTCCTCCCCTCGAGTCTAT